GAAGCATCTTGACCATTAAGGTATAATCTTGACCCTTAGGAGGGCTCAGCCTACTTGAGGAGGCTGAAGAAGTAGCCAGGTAATTAGAATAAGGTGAGATGGGCTATGATGGATGGAGAAATGGTGGAGGGAAGAGTGTCTTTAACTTTCCGTCAGGTGGATGGGTCATAGAGAGCACCTGAAGGTTTTGGGGTGGTCTGGTTCATCATCATGTGTGCCAATATGAAGAGACAGAGCGCACAAGGGATTCCCTGTGTTCAGGCTGAGGTGTAACCTGAACTGCTGGCAAAATTCAACCGTCCTAGGATTCCTGGTTTCAAGTCAGCTGTGAATCCACTAGATGTTCCATATGTTAGAAGCTACATTCAATGCATTTCATTTTGAACAAATACTCCTAGTTTAAAAATTGCAACCTTTTCCTTATGTGTGTATTTGAATATTGTGAGCCACTGTTCTATCTCTTAGGAATCACATCTTTCCCATGTGAATCATTGTTTCATATTTTTCCAGTGTACTAAAAGAGATCTTGACTGTAAAAGGTTAAATTGAAGATGAACTAGGGTATTTTTTTTCTTCCTTTTCCCTTGGCAAGAACACCACAGAGCCTTTGTAAACAAAAGCCAGGATGCAGACAGTCTAGGAGCAGTTTCAGCTGAAAAAAGTATAATTATTTTTCTTAACATGGTGAATTGAAGAATAGCTCAGGAAAATAAGGAGCAGGTGGCTGCCGCAGCCTGGAGGGCAGAAGGCCTGGTATGAAGACAGAGAGCACTTGCGGCTTGTCACGTGCTCCCACATATCACTTTAGCCCTTGGACAGAGGGCAGCTCTGAGCCTCCTGTCTTCTGCTCCCCCCGCAGTCCTGGGCCCCCTGACAAACATATGGGAAGAATTTAGAGACAAGGGAAAAGCCCAGAAATCTAATGTGGAGAGAAATTATGTGGCTAACAGCTGGAATTCATGAAGTTCCATATTAAGTGAAAGATTGATAGCAAGAAATTCAAAACACCCTTTCCCAAAAGACAGACAAATTAATAGCTTGAGGACAAGAAAGACTTCTCAAGATTCTTGGCTTCTCTTTAAATACAACAGAAATGCTTATATTTGTTTTTATAAGGGATAGCTATGATTATATTTGTCATAAATTTGGAATTATTGAAGTCAAGGATGAATATGGTAAAATGCACTAAGTGCCAAAAATGAATCTAAAATTGGACTGCATGCCCATTTTACTTTAGAGTCTTTCTTATTGAGGTATGTTGATATTAAATGAAATAATTATTTATAAAGATTTTTTCATCTGTTATCTTATTTAGTCCTCCCTGCACATATCAAGAAATAAGAATTTTATAACCTCCATATACTTAAGAGAAAATTGATGCTCAAGAGATGAATTTGCCCAAGATAAATTTGCATGTGATGGCAGACAAGAACTTAGACCTAGATCTTCTGCTCCCAACACCCATGGGTGTATCCACTGTACTAGGAATCATAAATCTGGATGAGTTTTCAAATTAGCTCTGGAGCTATGTACATTTACTAGTTTCTGGAGTGGGCTCTGGAATCTACATGCTTAAAAATCTCTGAAGTGATTCTGATGACCAACCCGGTTCAGTACCCACTGTATTAAGATAAATGAAACATCATTCTCTCACTAATCAATATGAATTCTTCTTTACTCTAGGATGGAAGTGAGCAGAATTTTTTGAAGGTTAGCAGAGCCATACCTAGGAGGCATTAGAATCCATCCAATTATGAAGCCTGCAACAATTTTGAGTTCAGTTTGATTACTAGTGTCTGGAAGCACATGATGTAGGGAAATAACAAATAAAGAAATATTTCCCAACCTTTTCCTGGACAATAATATACCTTTAAAAGTGCTGCGACACAGAGGGGACTGTCAATATCAAAGATGTGGAGCCACAGGTTGGGACCACCTGGACGAAAATTGGAAGAGTCAGTTGACCATCAAAATACAATACACTTAAGCTTTCAGTTTCTGGAAAGAGTTGACAAGTACAGTGAATATGGAAAACAGCCAGGCTCCTATCTGACAAGTAGCCAAGTTAATTCTTCCTAAACGTTTCTGAACACGAGCAGGTGATGTACATGCTTTGATGTTTGGTGGGCTTAGTTTTAAATCCCAGCCGTATCACTTAATGACCTTCGGTAACCACTTGCCTTCTTTGAGCCTCAGTTTCCCTATACATGTATGGAGAGTAATGATACTTTCATCATAGAGTATTTAGAGACTTGAATGAAAAACTGGCTATTAAGTCATTAATCTAGTTCCTGTAAATAGCAAGCACCATATTAATTGCAGTGTTATTTTTGTCTCTTACATCCAAGAGATCTTTAATCAGTAAAGAATATAAACACTTTAATGATATCCTAAGGAAACCAGATTTCAAACGTGGAAAAATTCACTGTAGTAAAAAGCAAGAATAATATCATAATGCAAGAGGTCCTATCTTAATCAAGTCCTGCTTTCAGCTTCTAGATACACGTAGGACAAGGGGCAAGCATTTGAACATCAGAAACTGTATCTGCATGGGGGAGCAAGAGGGAAGTGCGTTCAAGAATTTGGAAACCAGGGAATAAATGTGCCCTCTGCACCTAGCAGACTAGTTCACAGACTTGAAAGACACTTTTGAGAATGACTTTAAATTGAGTCAGCAAGACTGGACTGTAACCTAATTAACTATATTAACATATCTAAAGACAGAACTTATCATTCGGAACTGCAGTTGGACAGCAATGGAAGAACAGAAAATGGAAAGTCAGAGAGGCAAATACTGGCAAGTGCTCTCCTAAAACTACCCAGGGGAGAAGGAGGCTTAGCTGAGGGACTTTGAATATTTCTTTTCCGTTGGCAAGAACGCTGTCATGGTGGGATGTCTATCTCTGGCTGTCTTAGCCCAATGTCACCATAGTTAAAGCATGTGACTAATTTATTTTGTATAGATTCGATACTTTTCATGAAATGGTCTGATTATAATTTATCTCCCTGCATAGTTTGCTTATAGAGAAAAAGAACACACCAGGCGGAGGATGTTAATAACTTACTGCTACTTATATTTCTCATGGTAAAATAATAAGTTGGTTTTTTGGTTTATACTTCAATCTTTCGTAAACACAGTAATCCTGAGTCAGCCTCCCTTAGCCTGATCATCCCTGGGCCTGAGTTTTGGAATGTGCTAGGTTCATGCCAGGACCTTGGGCAGGGATGAATCGAGCAAGACAATGTGTGGTACCTGATAGTGTCTCCTTCTGGTGGCAATGCTGATCTTCCTGTGACTTTGCCATACACCTCTACTCTAATCTAGGAAGAGAAACCACACATTGGGTTTCAAATGAATGGGAAGAGTTTTTTCCTGACTGAATTATGAATCAGCTTTAAGTGATAATGCTTTTCAGAGAAGATAAGCATTCTTTTCTCTTCGCTAACCAGGAGTCTGGATTTTTTAAGGTATCTGTTTAAAATCTCCAATTACTCTAACGATAATTTCGAAATACCACAGGCTCTGCTAATGTGTTTCCTCATCATTTAACAGTTCCCAGTCGTCAGTTGTGAGTGTTGGTGTGATCATGTGTCTCCCAATAACCCAAGGGGCACAGACACCCAAACACCTGAAACCGTCCACTGAGGAGACCTGGAGTTAGACTTACTCCTAGAGGGGAAGATTTCATTGTGTCATTTTGCAAAGTAACTGTCACTGCTTGCTAATTGGCCCCTGGACCTCCTCCCTAGCCCCTACACTGAGCAATGTTTTTAAAGCGTCTACCTAAATACGTCACACTTAAGCTCAAATCCTTCAGTGGCTGCCTATTGCTCTGGGTCAAGTCTCAACTCATCAGCATGTCTTAATAGGCCTTGTGGGTCTGTCCTTTGCTAACTGCTCCAGCTTTTTTCTTCAATATTCACCCATCTCATTCCAATAGATCTACTTTATTAAAAATTGCACTAGCCTCTTGGCCTTTGCATGTACATTTTCTTCTCTTTTTTCTAGTTGCTTAGAAAATCTTTACTTTTTTTCGTTAAGATGCCTCTTCCTTTGGGAAACATGAAATTAATTCATTAAAAATATTTCTTAAGCATTTCCAACCTACCAGACTCTATTCTAGGTGCTTGGGACACATTGATGAACAAAACAGGAAGGACTCTACTTACCTTATCGGATACTAATGGCCTATTCACTTGTCCTGTTTCCTCTAAACTGCAAGCTCCCTAAAGACAGGGTATGTGCTTTATTCACCACTGTATTCCCAAAGCCTAGAAGAATGCTTTCAGTAAAAAAAGTGAGCAGCCCTTAGAGAAAGGACAGCAAGCTTTTTCTGCAAAAAAAGAATTTCTGTGAAGTAAATATTTTAGAATTTTTTGGTCCATCTGGTCTTTGCCACAGTTCTTTAACCTTCCTGCTTTAACACAGTCAGAGACAATATGTAAGCAAATGGGCATGAATATATCCTGATCAAACTTAGAATACCCCTAAAGTTTCTTCCAGGTTCACAATTCTCTATTTTATCTGTTTTGTTTATTACTATACCCCTAGCATCTAGAACCATGTCTAAAACATAGTAAATACACAACATATACTTGTCAAATGGAGGCATTAGAGTACATTTAGACAGATTTGAGTTTGAATCCAAGCCAGTCTGACTTCAATATCCATGATCTTTGTATGACATCCTTGCTGGTTGTTTAGTTGAATATGGACATTGGGGATCAGAATTATCAAACACTGGGAACCACAATTCTGGTCAGTTAATCTAAAGTTGTTATGCCTCTTCTAATCTTGAGATGACTTCTCCAATCAGATCCCCGCCAAAATTTGTTCGTCAGCCCTGAACAATGATAAATCCCTCTTAATAACATATTAGAAATTAGAGAGTGGGCAGAAGCACAGTACTAGTTGGTAAATCACTAGTACAAATAGGTATGTTGCAAAGGAGGAAATACCTTTAGGATAAAGAAGTGGTACAGAGAGGGGTGCAACTTACTTTATAGTAAGGGGAAGGACCGAGGAAGCCTTCAGAAATGTGGAGAGGTCTGAAAAGGATCCCGAGAAGGTTCACATTCCTTTACATGTGTCCAAAATGGAGAGGCAGAGCACATGAGGGATGTGCTTAGACTGAGTTGTAACCTCAAGTGCAGGCAGAATTAAGTAGAGCCAGAATTCCCAATTCCTAGTCATCCATGAAACCACTTGATACTGCTTATGCTAGAAGCTACATTTTAATGAATTTATTTTAAACAGATATTCCCAGCTTAACCATTGCAGCCTTTTACTTATGTGTTTATTTGAGTATTTTAGGTTATTGTTCTCTCTCTTAGGAATCCTATCTTTCCATAAATCACTTTTTTTGTGTGTGTTCTAGTATGCTAAATGATACCTTGATTTTAAAAGGTTAAATGGAAGATGGAATATAGTAAACTGACTGGACTTTGCTTTGTGAACTCTGCAGAAGTGTCGAGTCAGCTGCTTGAACTGTTCAGTGGAACAGGCAGAACCTGTTGCTCTGCAGCCTGAATTCATTCCTAGTGTCTTTGGTTCCATATTGGTTTATGACCAATGACTAATGCTTCACCCATGAGTCATTAAACCTATTCTTCACTTTCCTGGTTCTCTAATATTCTTGGAATTCATTCTTGTGTCCAATGGTCCAATGCTTTAGCCTGGTGTTCTGATGACTGAATGAATAGAAATGGCAATAAAAATGGATATGTGATGTAACAATTCAAACTGCAATTCACTTTAGAGAAGTCTTCTTAGCAAATCAAATTCTTCCCAAATCATTTCAAATCCTTTGAAATATCTGAAGCGTTCAGTTTCCTTTCTACCTTCATGAAAGGTCAACAAATATAGCAAGAGTATCTGCTAGCTCTGCACATACTTTGCCACAAAATTCAGACTTTATATAGTAGCTCTACTTTCTATTGCTCTTTATTAACTGCAGTTATGGCAGTAGGCAAAAGCATGGATAATTTAATATAGATAATAGCTGATGAATATGCAAGTGTTTGGTTGAGTTAGAAAACTAGCACTTTAAAAGAAATAGTGAAGTGCTATTGATGGCTAAACTTAAGATAAGAAGAAAAGATGTCCTACTTCTTGACTACTGCTTAATTCTCTAAAATCCACATCATTTTAAGAGCTGCTATTTTCAAAGAAAGAGCCAGCAATGGCCTGATAACTATGGAAGAATGTGGCAGACTAGGTGGAAGGGAGGTGACTTGGTGGGGGAAGGAAATAGGTATAAATAAGGCTTGGAAATATTCTATTTGCAGGGGTGGGGCAGGCACTGGAGGTAGGGAATGGGGAGAAGGTAGATTTAGCTGCTAATGCCGGCTGGCATTTAGCGTTCCCCATCCAATCATAAGATCTAAAGGGTATCGCTTAGGTAGGAAGTGTCCCTCAAGCTGAAGTAATTGATGAGTAGTCTATAAGCAGGCAGGTGGAGCACAGTAATAGAGAATCCAAACATATGTGATGTTCAAGAGTTCAGGCAGGAAATGTGCAATCATTCTCTTCTGGAGGGGGCTAGCCTGCATACCTGACACAGTGAATGTGGCCCAGGTGACTTTTTGGAGGTGACATCTGAGGTCTCCAGTTACAATGAAAGGGTGGGAGGTATGGACAGATAAGTGACTGTCACCAGCATGATCTGTTACAAGGCACAATCCAGCACATTCAAGTGCTACTCTGTTAAGTCAGAGTTATAGGTGCCCTGAAGATTTGTGCTCTGGGTAGATTTTCTCAGTTGGTCTGGAGAGGTCATGGATTGTGGTTGGCTAGACATTATTTTGATCTTTTCTTTTTTCCTCAGTGTGTGGTGTAGAAGAATAATGATGGCAGCAGAGGCAGTGACCATAATGGAAGAACTGGCCAGAAGAAAATGACTATTGGGTAGGCAAATTTTATCTATTTATTTTCAGTGATGGAGATAAGGGATATACTTTAAAAAGTATTACACAATGTAAAATTAATCGAGTAACTGAATAGTCACATAGTGTAGATTTCTTAAAAAATGTGCCACTAAAAATTCAGCTTACAACATTTATTGACATGTAAAACAGTAGTTAAAACTGCACTGACCTTCTTCTTGGAAACTTAAACCCCTCTTTATGTTATATTAATGAAGCTCAGCCCTCAAATATTTTCTCCTCACTTTTCAAATAAAAATAATACAATTTTATACATTATAACTCGATTTCCAAAAGGGGGCTGCAGGTTTGCTACTGGGGAGACTTTGCTAAGAGAGTTTCTGCAAATTTGGGGCCACAAGGCCTAACAATTAATTGGTGAGATCCACTTCAAAAGGATGACAACGTTAATGCAAGAAAGTTTAACCGTTTACTGACATCCACTATTGGGAGAAATTAGCCTCAGGTCTTAAAGGTAAATTGGGCCAGTCATGAAGAGGCAGATAAGTAGAGTCTATCTTTGGAGACTGAATGTGTCTGAATGATCACAGGCATGAGAACGTGAGGTTATGGTTAAGATTTTGTGAATTAAATGATGACGTTTCTTGTAGGATTTCAAAAAGTCAGGTCACTGTAGTTGAGTCATGCTCAGTAATCGTGAGCTTCTAAGACTAAATTGCAAGGTGAGCACAGTTGACAACATGATAAAACCATCGATTCATTATTTACCCAAAGTTCTCTTTCTTTGTGATTTCTTACTAGCACATAGCATTAACTCCTACTGTCAAAACCTAGTTTCACAAGTGCCCAACCAAATCAATCTTGGGTATTGATCATTCAATGATTGCTAATTGCTGTAGTTTAGAATTTGATTCATTAGTGTAGGAAAATAAAAAAAGGTCTGCTTGTTTTATGCTGTATATGTTTTTGTAAGGGAATGCTTTTGCTATATTAGGTATTCATTTTTTTTAAATGTAAAATAAGCAGGAAAAAGCTTTTAAAAATGTTATGATTTGTTGACATTAAAGTTGAAGTTGCCTTCAGGCTGCATTAACTTATATATCTTTTAATTCCTCTGTTTTAATTTATCAACTGCCTCTGTGAGAGACAGAAGACCTAAATTTTAAACAAGATTATCTTTTCTGATACTAGGCAACTCATCTTATTCTCTCTAGAGCACATTTTCATAGGAATAAAAGGATGTATATATTTATATGTATATTTAAATCATCAGTTGTGTCTTAGGTTTTACAAATGCAAAGGAAATACGGAAAAGGAAGGGCAGGAGACTGATTTGTTGATGCAGATTTCTGTGACAAAATCTTTTCATTGTTGGCTAATCTTTTACTAGTGTAAATGTGAAAATGATTTCACGGGTAGAGAAGATAAATTTTCCTTGGCAATTTACAGGATCGACCTTTGTTGGATACCCACTGAGACAAGGGATGACAGTTTAGTTGCAATGATTTGCTCTTTGGAGCAGAGGCAACATTGTGGCCAACTTATTCACATGAACCTAGAATTGCAAGAAGAGGGGGAGATTTGCTCAGGAGAGGCTAATCTTGAATGCCTAAGATCTGGGGATTTTAAAATGCAGCTTTGTGGAGCCAGATTTGAGATATGTTGAAACAAAAGATTTTTTTTTTTTTGACCCTAGGATGAAACCTACAATATGTGGGTAAATGGTGGCTCTAGATTAAGAACATTACCTACTTTGCAAGATAACATCATCCACAATTTGGTTCAGTAGTAATATCTTTAGAGTTCAAAGTTTACATCTGTTGCTGCTGTTAGGAGATGTTTTATTGATACACACATGCGGGCACGTGCGCACACACACACACACACATACCCCGGTCCATGTTTCCCACACTAACCAGACAATTGGCTATTATTTAAGACTGTATTATCTAATGTCATGGCCACTAGCCACATGTGGCTACTGAACACATGGAATGTGGCTTAGTTTGAATGGAGCTGTGTTGTAAGTATAAAATATAGACCAGGTTTCAAAGACAGTATTAAAAAAAAAAAAGAATAAAAAATAACTTAATTTTCAATATTGATTAAATGTTGAAATAGTAATATTTTAATATGTTGAGTTAACTAAAATATATTATGAAATATAATTTCACTTGTTTATTCTCATTTTTCTGATGTGGCTACTATAAAATTCACCTATGTGGCTTGTAGCCTATTACTATTAAACAGTTCCGGTTTAATAATGTACGTCATGACAAACAATCCTCTGGAATTCCTTCCTGAGCTGTGAAAAGTTTACTGGAACTCCAATCACATTCTATCCCTGTTGTCTCCTCTGGGGCTCCTCAGTAGCACCCAGTCTCCTCTGAGCCATGACTATTGGCAGTTTCCATTCTCCTGCCTTCCTCACTCCATATTTGATCTGCCCCTCTTAGCTATGGCTTCTGCTCCTGTCCTTGCTTCAAGACGTGGCTGACTGCTGATCCTCTCCCATCACTGCTGAGTGGGAGAGGAGAGAAGGCTTCCCTTCTGACTGTTGCAAACTCCTTTATCTACTTATTGTCTTAAGGAATCAAATAGTTTGGCTATTCCTTACAGATTCCCTGATGATAGAAGTCACTCATTAACCTTATTCTGATAGAAGATACTCATTAACCTTACTCTTAAAATTTATTATTTTGGTAAATCTTGCTGTAAATTCTCTTGGGGTTAAGTTGGAAAATGATACAGATATCATCATGCAATGGATTACACTCAGATTGGTTCAACTTTGCAATGGATTACACTCAGATTGGTTCAACTTCTCCTTATTTACCATGTGTCAATTTCTTCCTTGTTCCCTTTATTGCCCAGACTTCAAGGCCCAGCTATAATTCTCCAGAATTTAGTCATATCCTCTTCTCTATGACAGAGTCATGTCCTGACTTTCTGGAATGTGCAGAAAATACCAGCTTAAGCCCTTATTCTGGGACAATTATTGCATGTGGTGTTGTCATTAACCAATAATGGATGCCAGTTATCAAATATGGATTAAAGTATAGTATCAGCTTTATACAAGGGAAGCTAAGTTAGAGGATGGTGGCTTGGCCTCTTATCTCATACCCCAGTTGAAATTTGCCTATCAGTCCTGAGCAGAGAAGTCAGGGATTATTGGCTCTCCTGGTAGAAGAAAGATACTGTTTGGGACAAGAGGCAGAGGGGCAGAGAACACCCAGCATTAGGGCACATGAACCAAGACAGCAAAATAATATCTGTGGCTAATGTGAGTTTTGATGCTGTGACCTTAACCCTTGGTAAACAAGGTCCTGTGGATTTCAGATGCTCCTTGCCTCCCCCATCAGATAAATTGTTCCTGCTCCTATTGGAAGGAGTGAATGAGTGAGTGAGTGAGTGAATGGATGGAAAGTGGGAACCCAACGGTTCATTCCTGTACCTTCTTTCTGGAATTAGAGCAGAACTTTCTTTTCTCTATGTCCTGTGATGGAGAAGTAAGCAATTCC